TATCTCCATGCCTGATACTTATTCTGAAGTAGTATCATCTTATTCTCAATGTATATACACTTTGCCTTACTCAATATACTGATTTCTGTCTTCTAATGTGTAATGTAGCCTTCTAACTTAATAGAATACTTGTGTGAATTGTTTAGATTGAAATATTTCTTAGTATCTAAGAGTAGTTGTATTTTATAGTCTAGTAATGCTTGATAGATTGTCCTGCTTGTGTAGTTTACTATTTGCATTGCTTTGTAAACCATAATACTATCTGGCTAGTTGTATTCCAATCTTCTAACATTCTCAGGTTCTTTCCTAATGTCCTAGTATACATTCCTGTTGTCTGTAAACAGTCTGTATTTCTTAAGAGTGTTGTTTCAATTTGTGGCTCTAAGAATCAGTAGTAGTGTCTCTGAAATGTCCATATATGTGTTGTCTTGTACTTGTAATGTCTTAGATTCCTTGAAACAATAGTTGTATGTGTGTTTCCTAGTCCTTTCTATGTACTATACATATCTGTAGAGATACAAAATTGTTTCCATACTGTATGCCTTTGCTCTCAAGTGTAAAATGTTATTGTATACTTCATACAGTTGTCTTTGGATGAAGAGGAATCTGAATTATTACTGTCTGAGTCTGATCCTAGGTTGAAATTTCCATTTCTCTGTATCCTAAAGCTCTGAATTGCTCTGTATGTGTAGCTAGGCTCTCTAAAGGTCTTACTAATGCAAATCTGTCTTTCTAAACATTATTTGATGCTTTACTATGCCTGTGTCTATTGTTTGTTCTTGAACTACAGTTTGAACTATTCTTATACTTACTATGCTTGATATGTAGCTTTGAACTGTGTAGTTTACTATACTCTGAATCAATATTGTTCTCACTAATACTACTAGTGTATGCCTTGCCTGGGACTGCTTTCAATTGTAAAGTATTACTATAGAATCATTTGTTCACTAATTTAATGTAATGTATACTCTAATACTCTGAAAAACTTGGTATTTCCATTTAAGACTGTATATATCTAGGTATTTTACTTTCTCTCTTATTCCTAGACCTGACTAGAGTGTTGTATCCATTATAGTACTCCTGTACATTGCTCCTATACAATACATAGTCAATATCTACTATGTATAAGGTTAAACACTTGATTTTGTAGGTGTATACTTGATTTTCACTCTCTAGATCAAGTACTGATCCTTATAGTTCCAATTTGCATTCACTTTTGCTATCCTCAAAGTACTGTTCTGTTAATGTAATGTCTGTTTTGCTTGGATAGTCTGAATCGATTTCACAATTGTATTAAATGTCTGACAGTTCCAGTTTTTGTTCTGTTCCTTGTACTTTGTGTATTCCTCTTACTTTGTACTTTCCTTTCACTTTCTATGAATACAATTGTTTGTCTGGACTCTTGAGTGTTTCTTCTACACTCTTAGATTGATAGTTCTGATCTCTATTGTCTGTGGGTACTATAGTATGTCTGGCTTTTGTTCTGTAGCCTGCCTGAAGTGTTTCACACTTTTCTGTTACTATACTATCAAGTCTGCTCTTGTTTGATAAAGGAGTTGCTTTCTCCTCTTCCTAGTACATTCTATTGAATTTGTACATTCTCTTATTCAAATCTTTAATGTCTATCAAACTGTAGAATGGGCTGATATGTCCTATGTCTATCTTAATCACTCTAGCTCTTACAATGTGTCTGAAGGTCTTACTTGCCTTCTGGAAATCTTGTTCCTTATTGAATCTCTGTGGTTTTGATGTCTGACTCTCCTAGCCTTTGTTACTCTTGTTTTTTGAGTCCTGGCTATATTCTTTACTGTCTAAAAGGGTCTTAAGTGTCTTATTACCCTCTATATTACTGTTGTCAATGTGTTTCTGTTCTGAAGTAAGTGTGCTCACTAGATACTTATCCATACTCTTACTGATACTAACTATATACACTCTGTAACTCTTGTACTAGCTTGCAAATTCCTTAATGCTTACTGTTAGCTCTCTATATTAACTTGGTGAATCCTCAAACCAAATTGCCTGTCCTCTATCAAGTGAATTCTCAAACTTGGTAGCCTGAAATTGATCAAGCAAATCCTCAAGCTCAATTGCCTGTACTCAGTCAGTTGAATCCTCAAAGTCAACCTTCTGTACTTGATTGGACAAATCCTTGAATTTAATCACCTGTTCATTCTGAACTCAACTGTCTGAATCCTTAAGAATAATTGCCTGAGTGTTTCTGCTCTCTGTACTACAATTTGCTATTTCTTTAAGCCTAGTAAGGTTAGTACTTACTAGTGTCTGCTCTACAGTATGCATTTGTCTAACTATATGTGCTGGTACAGTTACATACCTTAGTTCTACATTATTAGTATGTACTAGTTCATTAGGGTGCCTCCAGCCTTATACAGACAAGGACTTATTACCTAGTATAAGTTCATTAGATTGCCTCCAGTCTACAAGGGACAAGGACTTACTTCCTAGTATGTTAGTATTAATATCTGGACTTGGGTACCCTCTGGGAATTGTCTGTCAAGGCTCAGTAGCCACATTGTAATTAATATCTAATAGATAATCTTGTTGTCCATTACCTGTAAACTTAATACACACCTGTTTGTTCCTTTTCACCATTACAGATGTCTAGTCCTTGACCCATCCAATCAATACAAACCTCTAGCATATCTAGTGCTAGTCCATATTAATATGTGTTAATGTGTTCCAGAAGCATTCTGTAGTGTTCCAAAGTATTGTGAACCTACTAGGGGCTAATCTAGTAAGTAGTTTCTGTTTCTACTCGAAAATTGTAACTTTACTCACAAAAAATTCCTGAGGGATACTAGACAACAAGGGAGACCTAGGGTTGATCAGACCCTTTAGTTCCTCAGCATCCAGCAAGAGGTTTCAATGCTAGGTAGGTACAGTCAAAAATATGTAAGGAAACTCACTAATCCTTACAAGAGAATTCTAATTGCCCTTAGTTCACTCAACTACTGACTAGGATAACCTAGTACTTGAGTAAGGGGTTAGGGGAAAAGAATACTCTTTACCCAGCAATCAATACTGTCTTTTATAGGGTAGTACATGTGTGGATACATGAGGAGGAAGTATAACTAACTATAATGAGAATATATGTGCTTGTGGGTCCTACTGTACAATGATCTGACACAATCAGTAATGTAGTAATAATAAAATACAAACTAGTAAATCAAATCCTTACAATTTTATACAAAGAAAAACAAACATACAGTTACAATACTATTAGTTCACATTAATAATATAACTATTGTTACACAAAGTAATAATATTATTGATATGATTAATAACTCTCTATGATTGTATATAGAAATTATGGACAGAGGCAAATTACATTAGTTACTAGGCATAGAAATCAAACACAATAGAAACAAACAAACAATAATGATGAGACAAAGACATTATATTGAAAATGTATTAATTCAATATAACTTACAAAACAAAAAGAATTTACAAAAGCCTATGTAACCAAATACACAATTAGTTATGGACAATAATCTACTAGAGGATGAACATGCATTTATATCCAATATACCATATATGAACATGGTCAGATCCTTACAATATATTGTAGATTGTACACAACCAGACATAGTGTTTATAACATCTCAACTTGTAAAACACTTAAAATCCCTAAGCATGTTACATTATAATACTATAGTACATTGTATACAATACTTAAAGGGAACCAAAGATAAATGGTTAATATTCAGACAAGGAAATCATAGTAATATAACTGGTTATACAGATGCAGTCTGACACCTGTGTACAACACCTGTTTGCCTTTGTTTCAAATCACCAGGACCTCACACTTCATATAACCACTCTTTCTTTCTTTTTTTCATTCCTTTGTATAGTTCTGTGTCTGTTCTGTTAGTTCTGTGTCTGTTCTGTTTGTATGTGTATTAATTGTTTTACTAATACTGTATTGTCTGTAATTGTATCATTGATTGTAATACATGTTAACAGTCCTCTTCAAATATTTACAAGACCTATTAAGTCTGTAAGGTGTTTGATTTTTGGAACATGTAATGATTTAGTTAGGATGTCTGTCCTTTGATTGTCCATTTGAACATACTTAATATTAATAAGTTGTTCCTCAACATAACATTTAATAAAATTGTATTGTAAGCCAATATGTTTGGTTCTTGTTGAGTATTTTGTTTTGTCCACTTCTATAGATTTAATTACTGCTTGGTTATTATAATAAATATTTGTAGGTGCATTAGAGATCTGTAGTATCTTATCTGCTAGGTATTATAATGCTATAGCTTCTTGTATTCTGTTTGATAGTACTATTATTTCCACTTTGTACATAAATAAGGATACTAGTTTCTGTCCATTACTTGACTAAGATATGAGCAATTCTCCTAAGAAGAATGTGTATCCAGATATTGCTTTATTATTTTCTTGCATCATTCTGTTAGTTACCTGCTCAGTCCTGAAAGTCTAGATAGGGTGTAATTCTTGTTCTCCTCAATACTCCCACTCAATACACAAACTGATCCTTATTACATACTAAATATATTCAAGGTGTTTGTGTGTTCAGACGTTTGTCTCTACATTATCCTGAACAGTAGACCAATACCACCCTTATAATTATACCCTTTCTACTGTGTGTAGATGCTACCCTATACTTGATTGGCTTATCCTGTTAAGGAGAACGCAAATTTCAGACTGGTTGTACACATCTCAGCTATCTTCTAGTAAGGAAAGGACAGTGTGGCGCATCATACTGTTGCTCAACAGTGCTCTGATCACCATGCCAATACACTTACATAAAGCCCCAATATCAGCACTTGTAATGCAACTTTCTCCTTTTGGTGACTAAAGATGAGCAGACTTGTGTAGCACAGTTCACTTTGCACATTGCTTGGCAATTATGGTATGCATTAATACACACCACACATGCAAGTCAGATACGCTACACACAGGCAACACTTCTGTCTGCAAATTGTACGGAATTGAGTTCAGCAGTGTACTCAGCTATGAAAAGATTATCCCTGTCCCGGTTGTCAAAACGGACCTCACATTCACACCATAACTCTCAAGGAGATACAGTGGAAAAAATGAAGGAACTAGAGGCAAAACACAAGGAGGTGAAAATGCTAGCAGAAGAGGTGAAAAACAAGGTGTGGGACTTGCTTGTAATCGGAAACTCCTTTATAGATGATTTTCAAGTAGTCAATCGTGTCTTGAAAAAACTTCCAATTAAGCTGCTTCCTGACGATTCTGATGAGAGCAGTGAATTAGAGGGACAAGAACGAGTTTATTTGAGTCAAAAACTAGCAGAATTCAGGAGAACTTTCATACTGCAAGCCAAACATGAAAAACAAACACGGCCAGGTATAAAAGTTACAGACCCAAAGCTGCAAGACTTTATCAGACATATTGAATTGCTCTGGCCAGAGTTTCAAAACAGTGAACACCTGAAAATAGTTGTTTATGCTACAAGAGATGCAAGAGCTAAACTTTGCAACATTGTAGCCATGTTTAATCGCGATGGACCTTATGCAGATTATCTACACACTAATAAGGAAGGTCAAAGCCACAGGGAAAGCGTTGAAGCACTACGTTCACGTTTCTTCAGAGTGTCCTGTGATGTTTATTGTAAATCAGCAACAATACAAACACTGGAACAAGTACAGCAGGAATTAGAAGCAGTCAAGGATGAAGCCAAGAATTTAAAGGGAGAAACAGAGAAGAAGATAGTCAAACGTGAGTTAGACGAAGTTGACAAATTTTTAAAGAAACCAGCAGAGTTGTGGAAGGAAAAGCATCCTGATAAGCCTTTGAAGAAATGAAAGGACATAGTACAAGGCCTGAATCTTAGAGTACTTATGAAGCCATTGTAGTCATGAAGTCTCCTGTATGTTACTCTACATTCAATACTATCATATGCATGTATCTGCATTATAGTTCTTAGGTCAATATAACACTGGATTAGATTTAATAATAACCTTATACAATCTAATTCACAATGTTCATACATACTTATTTTACATAACTCTTTCAGCTGTTCTTTGACCAATTTCAAGTGTATTTTCATTATTCTGCTCCTTCACCTCCCTTTCAATTGGAGTGATTAGGGTGTCATTTGCAATTGTAGATTCTAGGTCTAACACAAGTTCCACTAGTCAGATACAGAGAGGAGTTCTATTCATCCAAAGCTCTAGAGTAAGAAGATATAAAAAAAACCTTTTACTCCACATAATAATATTGTATATACAAAGAAGGCCTGTCAATACATTGTGGTTGTTGTCTCAGGAGTATCTGTTGAACAGAGGTAAGGCCCTCCATCTTCCAGCAACAGATGATCATGAAACCAAGTACAGATTGTGTAGAAGTCTATTTGAGTGATACCAAGCTCTATCAGAATCTGCAATTGGTATGGTATGGTATGGTATATTTCCCAGTATAAGTCCCTAAAAAGAAACTTGTGTGTGGAAATCTCGGATCAGCGTTGAAACTGCACAGGACACACGTGGGGCTCAGAAATATATTCAAATTCTCTCTTCACTCTGGAAGGACTTGTTAAATTATCTCTTTAACGCCTTCCTTATTACACGATTTAGATAGCAATAATGTATAGTCGTATTAGACATCCAACGTTCTAAAGGTGAGAATACATGTTTGCTAAGACAATAGAAAACACAATACTAAACCCAGAAACCCAAATATCCAGAAGAAACTCGAAAAGGAGTAACAGTGTGGGGGTAAAATAAAGCAGGTATCATCACGATCAGGCCAAAGCCAGTGCTGCAAGACCCATTGATACTACACCAGCAAGCATGCCTCCCGCCACATTCCTCCCTGCACCAGAGGTATTACTGGGTGTAGAGCCAGACGCGGTACCCGTTCCAGAGCTAGAGCCAGAGCCTCCGCCCGTCTGACTGGCCAAGCTGGTCGAGACAACAGCAGTAAAGCGGTCCGCCGTGCCGGACGTGGTGAACGCTTCAGTGAGCGTTTGGTTGTCGGTCACTGCTACAACTTCGACGGTGCACGCTGCTGACGAGCCACTGAAACCACATCCGATGGACTCGGTTATGGTCGTGCTTGAGTCACCGAGGAGGACGATTGCGCTAGCTTGGGAGGCGTTCTCGACGAGCGTCACTGATTACAAGAATTAAATTAGAAATAGATGTAAAATTTTGGATACACGGAAACAAATGAAAGGAGAAAAGCACGAACCGGTGACAGGAAGGTCGTCTGAGGCAGTACTAGCTTCAGAGAGAACGTATGTCGTTCCGCCTTCTCCAGTACCAATGATGACACCCGAGAGAATCTCGGCATCGCCTGACCCAGCCGGGTCACCTCCATTATCAGAGTCATCCGTCACCATGAAAGGGAGCACAGTTGTTGCCTGTGGGTTAGCACTGGCACCTAATGTTTGCACACCAACAAAGAAAAAAATCAGTCTCTGAAGGTTCAAACTACACCGAGCACCAGAACGTACCACAGATGCACACGAGGGCAACAAGTGCAGGAAGGACAGTCTTAGTCAACATTGTAGAGTCTTGAAGGAGCGACGGGGAGTGCAACGTATGCAGAGAGCGTGTAGGGTCAAGAAGGCGACAGAACGCGGAGTGTGAGAGATGGGGAGTTTTTAGAGCCCATCTGGCCTGCTCGGAGATCTTTATATGTAAAGGTTAAGGGGAGAAGGGGTAAGAGATCTGCATTTATCCTTGTTTTCCCCATCAAATTCTTCACACGGGCGCTCTATCGGGACCGCGTAGGTTACTTTCACGAGAGGCTGTTTTTTGATGGTGACGAGATGGTTAAACACAGTGAGGTGGAATAGCAGTACCTAGCGAGCCTGAGCGTGTTGCCAGAGAAGTTATGTGCATAGTTTCAGAAAGGCACGAAAGAATCGATCCTGCTTATTCAAACGGCAACAATACCATGTGTAAAAGATTCAGAGACTCGTGTTGCATCGTTGTCTGGAATACTCGGTGGTATTGGATGCGTTTGATGGTAAAAAGTCTAGACGACGGGAAACATGAGACTTGGACGCCGGGAGGCTGTGATCCGCTTGCAGATCCTTAGGTGCCTTACATGATCGGAAATGATCCCAGTCAATCGCATTTTCATCTTCAACGTGTGCAAGGCAATGCAATGAACGCTGTATAGCCCTGAGGGGAACAGCATATGTACAAAGGCTCCTTGATACAGCAGAACTGGATGGTTTGATGTGGAGACGTATGCAAGGCACTAAAAGCCGTGTAAAAGGTGGTCAATAATCTCAGTTGGGAGAATACAATGCCCTAGGTTTCCATCATCAAAAACACTACATCCGTTCATTTATGCGACTGTCTGGTATGCTGTATAGAAAGATACTTGCCTCGCTTGGGACAGCATAAGTAAAAATCATTAAGACGGAAGTGAGATGAATGTGCAGATCAGTGGAAAAGGAAATGCCGATCAGCCACCGCAACGAGCATCTTTGCCAAGTGCACCTCAGTCTCAGACTCATATACCCTCTCAACTGATATGAGTAGCTTTCTTCATGTCAAACCTTCCTACTTCTGAACACATTGGAAGTGCCCCATCAATGCATACAGTATGAAATGGCAGACCTGACGATTGACAACCATTACCTATTTACCAAGCACATTGTATTCTTCAAGATGCCAAGGAAGACGAATCGACTTCTGACAAAACTCGTGCACTTTCCTCATGACGATAGCAGTCGATCTGCCCCTTATTCGAACCTCTTGCGTCTTCGCGGGCCGTCTTGTTCTACTTCGTTGCCTTCCTTCCCCTTGCTCTGGCCTTCTGCTTTGTTTCTATAGTTGCCGCTGCAAGTCTTCCCAGCCAGTGAACGGGTCCGCGAACCGCTAGCCCTACGCCTCGAAGTCATAAGTTTGGTTAGATGCCTGACACTCTGTTATCACATATCGCAAGCCATGATTAGTCCGAGGGTATGTCATTCTATTTTTGCGCCGCTTGTCTTTTGTCCACTCAGCTGCCGCGCATTGCAAACGTGTTTCGAAACGTGCGCCGACTTCTCTAAAAGCACATGTATATGGTCCCGAGAATTGACAATCCTAGACATTCGTAAGCTATGCGGACCTGGTTCATACATCACCTGACTGCTCCATCTCAACCGTAAGAATTATTTGGGCGAGAAGCGCGATGATACCCTCGAAGAGTATAAAATTCCGGAGCTAACGCTGAATATTGGGCGGAGGGCACCATGTCTTCAATTTTCTTCATAGCCGTTTATCTATCAGTTGCTGTTGCTAAGGCAGCAAATCCGCTCGACTCAAACTTAGCTTACGGATCACCTTTCGTCGACCATCCACAGGTATGTTCGGTCGTCACCAATTAGGTCACGTTTGTAATGACATTTAGCCATAGTTCTCGAGAGATATTGGAGCCATCCACAAGCGGCATGTCGAAACCTCTAAACGAAGCTTGGAAAAACGTCAGACAGATAATACTAATGAATTCGTGGATGAGCATTACCCAACGTTCTACGGAGCAGACTTCAGCAACGTATGTCCTAAGATCCATTACTTTTCCGCTTTCTTCACTCGTCTTGCCATTATAGAGTCCCTTTATCTGGAGCGGAGGGATAAACTTCACCCATTCAGGTACGCAAATTACCATTAACGGAATCAGTCGGTGATAGAAACATAACTTGAATAGTGGCAAGCGGAGATCCATTCGACACATCGGTTCTCCTTTGGACTCGTGCAGTTCCATCTCCTTATGCACTCGACCCGTCCGCTCCGGTCGGTACAATTCCTGACCAATCGGTTCCCGTCTGTGTCTCCTATTCGATATTCCCAAACGAAGCTCTATCAGGCCACCCTGTTTCGAGCGGTCAAGCTTTCACCAGTTACGACGTTGACTTTACAGTCAAGGTCGAAGCAACCGGACTAAAGTCCGACACCCACTACTGGTTCGTATTCAGCGATTGCACGAATCCGAGTAGCAAGAGCCCTGTTGGGAAGACAAGGACCTTCGCAAGTCCAGACAGTACGTATCTGGTGTTTTTGGTGCTTTGGAATCCTTGGATCTTATTAATATTCTTGTCGAAGCTCCCGCTAATAAGGTGAACAGAGGGAAGCCACTGACTTTGGCCTTTTTTTCTTGCTCGCGATATCAAGACGGTCAGTGCACCATTATCAATGACTATTCTTTCGTATCTAAAAAAGGCGAGGCATTTAGGTTACTTCAACGCGTACGGAGTTGCAGTTAATAATGCTTCAGCGGATGCCTTTGTTCATCTCGGAGATTACGTAAGCCGATGAGATTATCTCCGTTTTACATTCTCTAATCTGCATTTAGATCTACGAATCATTAGGAAACGGGTATGCGGTCTTCCTTGTAATGTTGGTGCAAATTCCTGATGAAAGATGACAGTGCACCTATTGGCCGTCAAACGTTGGGTCGCGAATTGGCTACTATTTATGATTACCGTCAACGCTTGAGCCAGTACCGAACAGACCAGAGCCTTGTACTCGCGCACCAGACTGGACCATGGATCACAGTTTGGTAATTATAGTAGCTATCTTCCTTTTAATATTAAACTAACGATAATTATAGGGTAATTATTCAATACAAATCATAATTGTAGAATATTCTCTCAACATTTTTCTTGATTTCAGGACGATCACGAGGTATTTAAACGTTAGACACGGCTATACTTTTCCTAATCAGAAAATGAATAGGTTGCAGATAATTCATGGAAAGCCGGAACAGCAGACTCGAATGACACGATGCTCGGTTGCTCGTTCTCTCCCTCTGGCACATGCTTTACAGACCGCAAACTCGCAGCAGTGCGTGCATATCACGAATGGATGCCCGTTCGTCAGATTGCTGCAGATGATAAACTCCGTATCTGGCGTAACTTCCAAATTGGAAAATTGCTCGATCTGACAATGCTTGATACGCGTCAGTATGATCGGGACTTGACTGATGTGAGTCTCCACTGCTAGATGCTAGAGAAAATATGATTCCAAATGTTCTGGACGCTAGGTTTATTATAATACGGAATGTAAGAATCACAAGCGGCCCTAGTAGTACGTTCTAATCCTTCCTTAAGACGTCAACTCCATCGCGGCTTTCGAGAATCGATCGCTCATGGGATTCGCTCAAGAAAATTGTGCGTTGTTTCATTTTTCTCGCTTTCCCTAATAACTCATAGTTGAGAAGGGCTTTACAATACCTTATCGCAATCGAAGTCTCGAGGTGCAGTCTGGCGACTAGTAGGGTATGCTTACATTTTTTCTCAGCGACACCCCACTAATTGCATTATAACATTGAAGGCAACAAATCGTATTCACTCAATTGAACGAGTCCGGAGTGTGTAAGTCTCCAAGTTTCACCAAATTAACTACCAAACTAACAACAGGTTTACAGTTGACTTGGTAACTTGTTTTACAATCTATTTAAGTAATGAATTAACTATTGTGAAGGATGCCTGGGACGGGTACAGGGCGAATCGTGAACGAGTCCTCAATCACATCGCTGACAACAAAATCAACAACGTCGTCATACTTTCTGGGGACAGCCATGCTAATTGGGTTTCGGATCTTGCTCGTCAGTAACCTGCTCCTTTATCTGTAGGTGTATTAAACTAACGTGCCGCTATTTGTAGATCCTAACGATACAAAAACGTTCTGTCGTTTCTTAATTACCGTAAACTAAATGCTAATTCGTCTTCTCCCTACAGGTACAACCCAAGCACTGGAGACGGTGCGATTGGTGTCGAGTTCGCAGGAACGGCCGTCACATCCAGCTCAGCGTTTGGAGCCAATATCTCTCCAGAAAACGCAGACAGAATCAGTGCACGGTATGTTGCGGCGAAAGGAAATGAAGACTTGCAATGGAGCGAAGGGTCCTATCGAGGCTTTTTCACGGTGAAGGTTGATCCTCACACAATACATGCGACTTATTATGCAATGAGGAACATAAGTAAGTGCACCTTCTTGTTAAGCTAATTTTAATATAATTAATAATTACTCGCCTCAATCCAGCTTTTGCGAACCTTGACAGCTTTGCGAGTGCCAACTTTACTGTCTTCTCTGGTAAGTATTTTTTTATGCAGAACATTTTCAGGCTGAAGCATATTCCACAGGGTCGAACAAGCTCGAGCGACCAGTCGCTGGTGGCTCAGTTCTTGCTGGAGTACTTAAATCATCCGTTGTAAACAGTACAAACTAGTTTCATAGCTAGCGTATTCTCGAAAGTCGGTAGTGCTCGAAGAGTGGTACAAAAACACTGGTAGTAAATTGTAGCAGCAAATACATTGAGAATTTACAAAAGTTTCACATTCATACATATTGCCTTGCAAAACTACCAAACTATTCCAGCTAATATTAGCTTGGTATGGTTCCAGGAGTCAAAGCTCAACCCCTATGTGTAACATTAAGCTCTCTAATTACATCTAAACCTGCAAACTAATCAGACTTACTGTATCAAACTTCATTAAGTCAACCCAGTGATTGGATATAGAACGATTTGGTAATGCTGAATTAGGAGTATATTAGTGCAAATCGTAGGTAAACTACAAATAAATGGCCTAACCTGTGCATAGTGTCTTGTGGACTGGTCGATATCGAGACTTGGATGAGTCTTGTAAATTCATTATCATCTTCGGTTTCCAGCAAAATGGAGCTGAATCCTCTAGACCAGGTCAAGAGACTATTGGCAGCGTGCTTCGATAACTCCTCGAAATTTCGTGAGATGTCCATCCCAGATAGCGATGGCTTAAGATCATTTGTACCCATGTAGTCCTGGAAGGAGAAAACGGCGAATACAAAATCCACTACTTCTCGACGGCTAAGTAACTCCCATCGTACCCAGGACACTACAGACAACTGGTGCAGGCGTTCCTGTATAGCCTTCTGCCATCGTACGTATCGCTGCCACCCATTATCATTTGGGATAGGTATCAGCTCCTTCGCACTTAAGTAGCCACTCGGCCGGTAAAACCACGAAGGAAGCTTCTGGCGAAGGTCTGTCCACCGTACTCGCGAAATAATGGCTGATTCTGGTATACAATCGAGAACGATAACCTCCTGCGAAGAATACGCAGCGTTCATGACTTTCAGATGCTTCGTGTTGTTGTACCAGTTCGGACAGACTCGACTAAGTCGTTCGTGTGAGACGTATGCGTGGTCGGCGACGGAACGTGTATCAATAATGAAAAGCTCTACATCCTCTTCGTTCCAGTTGGTCATGTTCATCTCCGCGAAGAAGAGTGCCCATGTGAAGGTGAACGTGGCGGAAACGAAGCGCGTGCGCACATCCTTGTTGTAAAGTACGTGTTCGACTAGTCTGTCGTCCGGTATAAGCTCTAAATCAAAGATACGCTGTCGCCTGCGAATCTCTTCAATAGACGTATCGAGCTGTGCCTTGCCAGAGTCGTGGTCAATGGAATAATATAGGCTGGCAACAATACCCTGTCGCTCAAAGTACCGAGAACCGGAGTTCTTGTGATTGATCCGGAAAAGAAGTGGGTTATAAGGTGCAAGGTCGATGACAGTATCGTATTCCTTGTTCGAGCCAGGGACATTGAAGAAACGGCGCTCAGTAGAGAGTCTCGCTTTCACTGGCTTGTACGCCTTGAGAGACATGGTGCGGGGAAGGGTGTTAGAATGTTGGTTGAAAGTATGGAAGAGATGTACCTTTAAGTTGTCAGAGACAACATCTGGTGCGGGCGTCTAATGTGAGATGCAGGGTACTTATGAAGTGCTTACTGGAGCAGAGAAACCAGCAAGCTCAAGGTTATTTCCAAATTTAGCCGTGCTGTACACTATATGTGGATATTAGTTTACAGCACTGCCATACCCGTGCCTTCAGGCGCTTAACGGCATCCCTACATGAATGCAGTGCATATGCTCGGATCTTGCTTAGCTTATTCATACAATCCGTAAAGGGGTATTGGAAATCAAATTCAGCAAACAAGGATTTCGAGGAGACTTTACGGTCTAAAAGCATCCACAGATGATGACTGATGAACAAAACAGGAAATCACGAACGCAAAAGCGAAAATCAAAACTGGCCAGTAAGAATTGGTATCGTTTGTGTCTGATACCAACATAAATGCTATTGAACCCAAAATGCATAGCAATCCGACTAGAAAGACTCACTGGTTGTACCTCGGATCTGCACCCAGAAAATTACAGAACGTCGACCCCTTTAATAAACGTGACTTCAAGCCTTCTTCGCGGCCGTATACGCCCATTGTATTTGACAGGATCGACGTGCGTAGTTTGAGTGCAGTGCTCCACTGTGCTTCGCTCGGCATTAGCTGGAGATTCGGTGATGGAATTATTCGTGTCGTCTTCGGGGAGACATTCCAATAACGATGCGAGGGATACAAAGTCAGAGCAACTAGAATTTGCAGACTCAATGTCGGGAGGCATATAATCAGATGTAGTTTGTTCCCTATAACAATTAAAAAATCAGTGCATGTGAGGCTAAACACAGCGCAGGTCACCCACAGATATACATCCAATAGTTCCCTTATAGTATCTTCTATTTCCGCACACTCGTCTGCATGAGCGTATCTAGGCGAATCTTTGTCCACATTTAAAAGTGTTAGGGCAATGACTTTCGCTCTATGTATAAATTCCTCCACGAAGCCGTTGTCATTGCCTGCTATGCTGGACACCAATTCGTTCACGAGTTGATGGGACAAAAGAACAAAGGCTGAATGTGCTGCTTCTTGGCGACTCCTCGTATTCCAGGCATCCACCGAGAATGACTCATAAAGTGTCGTTAAGCGTCCCCGGATAGCAGTATCCCAGGCACTAAACATCGAATACACAGTATCTTTTCGAGGTACTATGGGAATAACTGAGCGAAGGCCATCCTGCGAGTTTTCTTCGGTATAGAACCATGAAGGAAGATACTCTCTGCCTTCCTCCCAACAGCAAGAGGTGATAATTGAAGTTTCCGGTATGTGGTCCTCGACAATAACCTCGCACGATTTGGTGGCGAACGAAAGGTACTTCTTGGGACACTTATTCTTGGCATACAGTTCTTCTAGTTTTTCAGCGGCATTCCATGCATGATCAGCGACAGAGTCATAGTCGATCACTAATAGCTCGACGCCAGTCCTTCCCAGATGCATCAGCTGTCGTTCGGCTTCCCAGATTGCCCAAATCAAATTCGTAGTTGTCGAGATGAAGGGTGTAGGACGAGTATTTCCCCAACTCATATGTTGTAACAGAAGATCTTCCGTCGTGGTCTCCTCTACTGCTTGCCGTTCATTTGCTGAACACGTGTATTTCGTGCTGGAGACACCTTGCCCTTCAATGTACCGTGCATGTGATTTATCAGTTCCAACACGGAAAAGCAATGCATTCTCTCTAGGGACTTCACTATTGAGATAAGGTGATGCCATGGAGGGAAGGGTGAGAGAGAGGATTAAATGCGAAAACGTCAATACGCACGACTTGGTAGAGAACATGATGGCGGGAACGACAACACAGTGTGTAAAATGGGGGAGCACTGGAATGGCATGGTAGAATTAAAACCCTGAGCTTAAGTATGAGTTATGACACGATTTCTTCTGGTACTTCATAATAAAGTTCATATGCAAGTGTACGGCTGTGAGCACCCTTCTATGTAGGGTAGTTATTCCTGTGCAGACAGCCAGTGATCGCGGGTCCCGAAGCATCCTAGCACGACTCGTTCTCGAGATTCGGCATGAATAATAACAGTGGGTAGAGTGTATGCACCTATCGAGCGCTGCACTGCCTGCACTGATGTGAGTGTAGAATACAAAAATGAATTTTATTTTTAATCCGAATTGAGGCAATACGGTAACGTGATTACAAGTCATGTGAAATTACCACCCGACGCGTGCCGCTCAGTTGCTGTCTCTTTCTCAAGCTGCACTGCTGCAATTCACCACAATCAGAACTACTTATTCTCTCCCTTAAAAAGCCTCTTCTGGATGTGTGTTTAGTCATTTCAGGTTACAACTGCCTAAATGTTGTCTGAATTCTCTCTGGTTTGCTTGCAGTAGGGTGTTTTCACCTTCGACGCCATGGATCCGGTTGTGGTCAGCGAGTTTGCGCAAGACGCGTCGAAACTAGACGGTTGCGACACATTTTTGGACGCCACTGCTGTGAAGGGAAGCGATGATGCACCGATATTGGATTTAGGAACTGCTGGAATGTCTTGCTTCTCCACAAATTATGGGCCAATAACTGAAACACAGCGTGGCGTTGCAGTGCCTTCGACAGACGCTCAAATAAATGGTCTCGAGGTATGTTTGCACAGTCCTTTATGTAGTTTAGTTCCTTCCAGCATTTCTAAGGTTTTGTTTATTCGAACCATCTAAATTGCTGCGTGGCACATATATATTTACTATCTCCTTTGTGCTGCCGAGGCGAGCATCGAACAGACGCTGACTCTTCATCTCTAAATTTAATGCAGCAACATGAAGAACACCCGATGGAGAATTCAGATTCACCTCGGGCTTCTAGCGAGGTTGGTTCATTAGAACCTGCTATTCACGCACCCGTGTAATGAACTTTACTGCGATATTTAGGATATAATGAACGCAGATACTGGATTTGCGGCTGGTTGCAAACAAGACGCTGTGGCGGACTGCACCCATGGCGACGAATCCGCGGATCATCTTGGTGATGAATCTTTGAAACGCGCAACGGATGCTGCATCTTCAACAGTATCAGCACGTATGCAAATTGCTCCAAGCACGGCGCCTTTCGAGGACCAGAAGCTACCTTTCGCACCAAACCATGTACAAGGTGTCGAGTGTGAAGCTAAGTTCACGGAATCTAGAGGTTCATCTGGTCCACTCACGGAGCCTGACACGGACTCTGTCACTGACGATGACACAAAGGTACGCAAATCTGTACTCTCGGTCGTTATCGGGTCAGTAATTTCCGCCATTCTAGAGATTACCGACGGAAAGCCGACCTGCACACTCTGGTAATGAGTCAATTCAGAGTATTTCTCGCAGGTCGAAAGTAAGTGACTCTTCAAATAATTCAAGAATTCCCGGTGGTCCATCAACAGTGCTCACTCCCTACATCACTCCTCCGAAATTGACTATCCCAAAGGAACGTTATCGGCCCATGAGCGAAGTACATCAAGACTTCGTTTGGAATTCGGAAAACGAATCACCGGAAAACACTTCACAACAGAATGGCCACGCACCGCGCCCTGCTAAAAGGCCGAGAACCGCCTCGAAGCGATCTACCGATCAACATGACGAGAGCGATTCTTCCTTGGCTGACGAAGTTACCACAAAACGACAACGTGTGAGCAAGGCAAAGAAGGGGAAAGAGCGACAGCACTCTCGCTCACGATCGCCGCTACATCACCATACCGAAGAAGAGGCATTGGAACTGTTTGGACCGTCAATGACGATGTTTTCTTTGTTCGGTCCTCCGGGTGGATACCAGCTTTCGCATGGCATTTTACGATGTAACCCAGAAGACGAGGGGCGAGCGAGCTTTAACTTCAACTATCCGGATGAAGCACGACAATGGGTAGAAGAGGAGATGGATAAAGTTAGGCAGGAGGCGATCGCCTCTACCTCTACGCCTGTACCCAAGAGGACTTCGAAGCAGAATCGAAAGCCTAAAATGAAGGGCAGTCCGAAACCCAAAGACATGAATGGATCGTTGGATACACTCGACGATGGCAATGCTGATACGGGTTTATCTCCAAATGCTGCAGCGTCGTCGTCTACACGCAAAGCATCACGAAAAGCAGCAGCAGTTATTCGTGCAGCTACTCGGCAAAGAAACGACAGTGACGACGACTCAGATGATGATGACGGTGGGACGTCCACATTACAAGCTTCCTCCCGCAAACCCAGGAAAAAACCTGCTCCGAATCATTGGAGGCGCTCACAGCCCGATGAATTCATGCTCGACAGCGCACCGGAAGGAAGTCGCAAAGTCTGTCACCAATGTAGGAGCCGCAACCGGTTTGCGAAAATGCATTGTAATTTTGTCAAGGAGAATGGAGAACTCTGTACTTTGTCGTACTGTCATAAATGCATTAGCAGGTACGGCTCCAGATTTGATAGAAGTTCACATCGTTGCGATATCTAACGCGCTATTTCTTTTTTATAGACGTCCAGAAATCGAGTTCACGCCTGATGGATCTTTCAAGTGTTTCCGATGTTCGGAAACTTGTAGCTGTCTAATATGTCGCTTTGTATAGAATGCAATAGCATACTGGCTCTCGGATTGCGGTCAGGATGTTGCATATGTTCTCGCGACGGCATGATGGATAACTTACACTCATTTAACAGAGTTATTGCAATACCTTCGCATTCTTTGACAGTCTTCGATTCTATTCTTATTTTTGCTCTTTATGTTATACTGTACAACTTTGACTCTTTGAATCACAAAAAACAAGACTTTCTCCCCCTCAATGTTTCGTGTATAAATCTGTTTTAAAAAAAGAAACTCGGGATGACGATACTTTCCAGGCACAAGAAATATTAAAATTAGTTTGCTTTCATACATTACATTGCTTATTGCAGCTTACATACTTCACAATATACAACAACCCATAGTCTCACGATACGATGCGTATTCGTATTAATGTTTATGCACGTATATAATATACTTCGGAAGGCGCACCGTGTAAGTATGTACTCGCGAAGTGCAAAGGTATGTCGCCATCCAACGCCATACTGTACGGCTCATCGGCATACACCAAAGAATCCTGTCGTATCATTCATTCTCAATATCTACTCGATGATTTGACCTGGTGACGAGCTCAGGCGTGGACGTAAGGCGTCATCGGCATTCGCAAGCTGACAGTTGTTCGATTTGATATTCTTGTATTACCCCGCGGGTTATATGCTAGGGCAAAGGAACGTTATCAACACCCAGTCACCTATTTCTATTCAATCATATAGAATCGTACTCCCCGCCGGAGCGAGTTCTTTAAGTTATATTTATGTAGAAGCGTATCTATTATCTCTGGTGCAATGTCCTCACGCGATTGCACAATTCGTGCGTTCTACGATCCCAGGCCTCTACGTACAAGCCATATAAAAAGGTCATATAAGCGAACGGGATGGAAGAGCACTGGTCTGGAGATAGAGGTTATCTCGAGTCCTTCTCCTCGACCCTAGTTGACCAGAACATCGAATCTCGAAGTACTGCAATATGTCTACCGCTGAGACGCAGACTGCTACGGAAAACGTCACTACGGCTGTTGGGTCTATTAACTTGAACTTTGATACGATTGATGGTGTACGTGTTTATGTCCATACTCGATGATGTCTTTAAGTCCTGCTCACTGCTTTCGTGTGATTGATGATCGTATAGAAAGGAGCTTCGTACCCTCGATATCTCCCTCACTTCGACGTATCCGAGAAGTTCCCTCCTACTCCAATTCGAGGTACACTCTTCGCCTTTCCTGTTTCCTCATCCTATGTAGATAACCATCTCACACACCCTTTTTTTGAATCCAAACAGAGTTCACCGACCCCGGAACCCGCGCAGACCCAACCAAACCCAACCTCCTCTCCTCAGCCTCATCAATCAAGAACATAAGTCCTTACCTCGGTACAGAAATCAAAGGTGTCCAAATCTCTCAGTTATCAGAGGCTGGGTTGGATGAGTTGGCGTTGTTCGCTGCGGAGCGTAAGGTTTTGGTGTTTAGAGATCAGGAGTTTAAGGATTTGGACGCGGAGAGGCAGGTTGAGATCGCAAGGCACTTTGGACCGATTCAGAGGCACCCTACGTCTGGGAATGTTGAAGGGTTCCCGGAGTTTCACGTTGGTGAGTATGTCTTTCGTGACACAGACAGACGCTGAAAAAGCTGGGAAAACTGATCTTCATTTTGTTTCAGTATACCGAGACGCCAATCATAACCGATTCGAAGAATACCGAGGCAAGAACCGAGTCGGCAAAGTAAGCTGGCACTCTGACATCGTAAGTCCCCTCCAACCCCTCCTCCTTTCCCATCAACCTAACGAATGAGCTTGCGCGTGCACCTCCTGGATATAAAGTCATACGAGAAACAAACCCCAGGCACGACCTTCTTCTGGATCCTCGACCAACCCACAAACGGCGGAGGCGACACCCTCTTCCTCTCCCAAGTAGAAGCATACAACCGTCTCTCCCCTTCCTTCCAACGCCTCCTCTCAGGTCTCCGAGCAGTCCACTCCGCAGTCGAACAAGCAGAGTACTCAAAACGTATCGGCGGACCCGTCCGAAGGGAACCTGTAGAGACTGAACATCCACTCGTTCGTCAACACCCTGTTACGGGTGAGAAAGCTTTATATGTGAATCAAGGGTTTACGAGGAGGATTGTCGGGTTTAAGGAAGAAGAGTCGGAGTGGTTGTTGGATTTCTTGTTTGAACATATCTCGAAGGGTGCGGATTTCCAGATTCGAGCTTCGTATGAGCCTGGTACTGTCGTAGTTTGGGTGAGTGAATCCACCTTACATTCGCCTCTTTCAAGCCCTGATTGAACTGAATGTGGTGACTTTAGGATAATCGCGTTACGTGTCATTCTGCGACTGGAGACTTTCCGCGAGACGAGAGGAGACATGCGGTGAGGCTGACTCCGCAGGCTGAAGTTCCGATCCCTGTTTGAAAGGTGCAGAAGTCTGTGAATGTGTAAATAGGAATGTGAATTACTCAACTTGTGTACAAATTGAAATTCCGGTTTTCGTCATTCAATGTTTGATGAAAGGTTTTAGCATTAGACCCTTGGTGTACTTTCTTAATTGCCCAGCTCTGTAGACCTTATTTCTGTGTATACAGCCAGCAGCTGTGATATGGACAAGCAATGATCAAAGTGCTGTTGAGCCGTTAACTTAATGAGTCTTGATAGATGAGGAGAAAGGCGTCCATTGAGGATAAGAACAGGATGCCAGTCACATGTTAAATGGCAGACACAAAGAATTACAGTCGAGCATTCAATTTTGTTCAGATAGGTTCATCTGCAGAGATATATAGTACTTGACGCAACTCTCATCAGGTTTCGTCAAAATGAGAAGAAAGGAGGCGCTCACCATTATTCCCTCTAACAAATGCATCTCCGTATTTATTCGTCACTCGCCCATTGACATATTCTTCCGTCTGCTCGAGTGCAATATTCATGTACCCATCTAAGCATGACAACAAGCCTATCCGCAGTCCAATTAGTCAAATCATTGTTTTATCGAGGACCGAGAGAGACTCACCGCGGTAGTCGACACCAGACGTAAGCCGGACAATAACTCGTTTGCCAACAACGCCTTTTAAGAAATCGGTCGGTGAGCCCACTGGCGGAGTTGGTGCTTCTGGTGCTGGCCCTGATGGCTCTGCAGGAGGCGTGGGCGCGTCTGCCATGGTGGTCGGAGGATAAGTTGACGAGATGCTGGACTACGGAGCAGACGCGCTGCACGTGCCATAATATCCTCAAAAAATATTCGCGTTTTTTATGGACATTTCCTCGTTGGCTTCGACCATCGCGACGCTGACTACTCTTTGAATGTCGGCACGGCTGCTACATGCACTCACGAATGCAAGCTTGAGATCACCGCAGCAGTCTTTGCAGAGCGTTCTTGGATTTCACTCATCCTCTTTCGCAGCAGCAGCACCGAAGTCAAGGGGCGGACCAGTAAAATCATCTTCTCGAGGACGAAAGAGCCCGAAAGGCCTTCCGAGGAAACAGTTCAGTATGTCCAACAAATATAAGGACATTGTTATTGTGATTGATTGCTGTATAGAATCTACCTCAAGAACACGTCTTGTTAAGTCTCTTAAGCCGACAAATTCCTCTGGAAAATATGAGGTAGCAAAAGCAGAGGTCAAATGGGCCGAAGTTAAAAAGAAGGATAATGCATGTATTCTACTTTCTCCTATTCTCGACATAGAACTTATAGTTCTCATAGGTTCAGGATAATCAAGCTGCTGAACAGAAATCTTCAATCGACGAGCTACTCGACAAGGAATTCGATCGCTCGTCAACTGGAACAGACGAGAGACTCCCAGACTCATTCTCTTCACCTCCCTTACTCCCCGCCCTTGCACAATCAGTAGTAGACGTCCTCGGCCAAGATGCGAAACCAACTCCAATTCAAGCTCTTGCGCTAAAACATCTTTTCTCACTATCACAACAGAGCGAACGTTGCAAGGAATTTCTTCTTGCGTCTGAGACCGGCTCTGGAAAATCGTTCGCCTACCTCTTGCCTCTCCTTCAGTATCTTAAGGAGACTGAGGACTCTGTGGTGAACCCTCCATCCCGTCTGCCTATCAACCCACGAGCGATCGTCATTGCGCCGACACACGAGTTGACGAGGCAACTGTCTGTTTTCGCTAAATCACTCGTACACCACGCAAAACTCCGTATACTTTGCGCTTCGCGCGCGAATGCGCCGAATACGCATAGTGATCGTTCCAGGAGCGCAGGGAGCGCACGGCAGATGAAGCATGTCATCGAATCTCTCGGTCAGGATTCTGAAGTTGAAGGTGGAGAGTTACATGTCCATCCACAGATGGTTGGAAACTCGCGACCTATTGATGTTCTCGTGAGCACTCCTGTGAAAGCGCTCGAGATGGTGCGAGGGTGGGGATGGGACAAGGTCGGAACTCCAGAATCGGAAAGGGAGGGGCGAAAGTTCAGAGCGGGAAAGCCTGAGATGGGTCTGAAAAGAGTGGAGTGTGTCGTCGTTGACGAAGCAGATGTTCTTTTTGGTGAGTTCAACCGGGACTAAAGTCTTCCATATATTCTCTTGTCTTATCTATGGTTTCCTTTATCGTTATTTTAGATCCCGACTTCAGAGACACAACACTCAATCTCCTATCCGACATCAGCAAAGCCCGTGGCCATCCAATCCCTACAGACTCACAACAACAACCTCAACCAATCATCTACCCATTCCACCTCATCCTCACATCCGCAACCATCCCCTCCTCACTCTCCACATACCTCACTACCCACCACCCATCCCTCACTCGACTCGCTTCTCCACACCTCCACCGCCTACCATCCACACTCCACACCGAACACATAGGTTGGACAGGTGGGAACCGCTTCGCTGACATCGAGCGGCGTTTACGTCGTGTATGGGCTGAAGACGCGTTACGTGGTCCGGATGCGTCGACAGGTCGCATCACGCGTTCTCGGGTCTTGATATTCTGCAATCGATCAACTTCCGTTGACGCGCTCGGTTCACATCTCACCGAACATGGGATTCCTAACGTTACTCTTACGAGTACGGGTATCGCACGTTTACGAGGCTCAAATCGTCATCTCTCCGGTTTCCTAAAAGGCAGCACGACAACAAACACTTCGAAGGACGGGAACATTAACGATATGGAACAAGATAAAAACTCTCCATACGTACTAATCACAACCTCCCTCCTCTCACGAGGCCTCGACTTCTCTCCATCCGTCAAACACGTATTCATCGTCGACTCACCACGTAACATGATTGACTTCCTTCATCGAGCCGGACGTTCAGGTCGGGCAGGGCAACGCGGAAAGGTAGTCGTGTTTGGGAAGTTGAAAGGGAGGGGAAGTGGTGTTGATATGGCTATGAAGGGTAAGGTGAAGGCGTTGGCGAGGAAATGATTGATTGATTGATTGATTTGGTGAAGTTGATGTTTGTCGTTTCGTATTGTAATTTTCTTTGGAATAATTACCCATCTCGACTCACTCAAGGAATCCGAAGACAATGCATATACTTACTTTACATATATTCCAGGATACATAACTGGTAGACCCTAACCCGTCCGTCCCCATTTGCAAAGTCATATACAAAAAACACCTTGTTCCTTTCACTAATCACTAATATCATTCCTTTCTCCAAATAACCTACATATTCACGGGCATCCACGTTCAAAAAGTGACAGTCGGCTTAGGAAGCTTGCCCATCTCCCAGAACGAAATGACAAGCGGCTACAGAAAAGAAAAGAAAAACAAAAAACGGAGGTTTAGACCCCTTGTCTTCTCGAAAGTATCCAATATTAATAAGATAGAAAGATATTATACGCACGTCCACAAAGTCTGCTATATCTTGCTTGATCTCTTGATAAATCGGGTTCTCTGCTGTATGCCTTAAACACATCAACCAAGTTCGACAAAGTACGTCAATCATGATACAACATCAGGTAAATATCATCGTGAGCTTGGAAATACTCAACGTACTTGTTGAAAGACTCATGATCTTTATACCTATCAACAGAAAAAGAAAAAAAAACCAATCAGAAATTCAGAATACATACACAATCAGCCTTATAGCAAATAAAATAAAAGAAAATCAGGAACTCACACTTCAAAGAAATGGAACGAATCTCCATATCTCACAACGTCATACCTCAACGTACCCGGTTCCTGATCCGAGTCCGCACGCGCTTTCATGTTGGCTATGTGCTGAGCGACGACGTCGACTTTCCCTGGTTTGACGTCCATCTATTGTAGTACATAAGTTATTCAATAAATAAGTAATAGTTAGATAGTTTGAACGTGTAGAGATAGGATTCGTGTTGAATTGGTTTTGGAACTAGTGAGGCGATGCCAAGAAACGGATAAGGAACATACTCGGGCGATAACGACGAACGGTTCTTCTTTAATGTCTTGTGCGCTCGAAGCCATGGTAGACTTATTGGATACTAGATAGATGAGAAATTACTGGTAGTCTACTAGACTGGAAATCGTCTGTCTGTCCTAGTTGATGTAGTCCGGGTTAGACGTGTAAGCCGGCAAGAATTCATTATCCATGCATCAATCATTACATCAAGATCAAGAGAGTTCGAAGCTCTTTGAGTTATTTGGATCTGTTCAGAATGGGCCAAATAGGATAGTTGATGAGTAAGCATATTTGTTACGTACTACAACAAGTACAATAAATAAGACTTTCACCTTGATGTGAGTATTGTGTCGTGATTCTGAAATATATATACTCTATTGAAAACATTATTATTTTTAAATGCTTTCTGTGGGTGTAAACTCTAAGTTGTTAAAGGACTGTATCTCAGAAATTCTACTTCCAATATTATTTGTATTCCCTGCCTCCTTCAAATAGAACAACAGGTGGCTACCACATCACAAAAAAGTCTTAAGTATTATACTTGCTTGTAATCTTGTATATTTTGTATATTTTATAAAATTTGTCCAATTACTTATAATCTTCCTGGGGGGTTAAGTAATGACAGTACAATGTTAGATAAGTAAGTAAGAATACTTTTAAAACTTGGCAATTTCCATTATAATTTTATAAATTGTCAAGTTATAAAAGTGATTATAACACTTTCTAAGATTACAAGACTAAGACATACTTATTTATTTGAGAAAGTATAATATCTGCTTATAATGCTTATAAGTCATTACAAGCATTTGAATGGTTTGCTTTTGCTTAGTATACAATTTTGTATCAAATAATTAATCAAATATAATTATATTTAAATTATAGAATACAAAAATAGTAATTAATACATTATTTCTACAATCCCAACCCCTACACCACTAGCTGCCTCTGCCTCGTTCTTTTCTGAGTCGGA